TTAGTATAATAGTTCAATTTTCCATTAAATAGTGTGTCATCTGGGTACATGTATCTTTGTGCAATAATAATCAAGATTTACAACAGTATTCATTACATTAATATTACTTCTCTAATTTTACAATACTAATATTGAACATTATAAACAATATTCACTTCACCCTCTTGACATATCTTCTAATAGGAAAATAATAGTAGTAGTAGTAGTAGTAGTAGTAGTAGTAGTAGTAGTAGTCCAGTGGTGGATTGCCCCTGGTTCGCACTGGTTCTATAGAACCGGTAGTAAAACCAGCGGGAGGCTCCGCCCACTGACCCTAATGTCATGAAAATGCTTCTGCGCTTGCGCAGAAGAGCACGCAGCCCCGTTGCAAACCGGTAGTAAAGGTAAGTAGAGCCCACCCCTGTAATAGTCATAATCATCATAATCATCATCATCATCATAGTGTTTATATCTCTCTCTTAACATATTTTCTATATTTCACTGATCTCTTTCTTTTGTTTCTCTATTTTTAACTTCCATTTTTATTCTCTAACCATCGATAAAATAGTTCCCATGTCATATAATATTCAGTTTGTTCTTTCTCGTTAATTGCAAGTGTTAATCTATTCATTTCTGCACATTCTAATATTTTTCTGATCACATTCTCATCAGCAGGGATCTCTTCACTTTTCCAGTTTTGTCCAAATACAATTCTAGCTGCAGTTAATACATGAATAATTAGTTAGGCATTCCCCTTACTAGCCCAATTATGAATGCATCTAACCTGATTTCTAGTATCGTCTGAGCCCAACAGAAAGTTTGCAGAAGCCCAGAATCACTTTGCAGCGTGAGGTGGGCAGTATAACTATTTAAGAAATAAATAAATAAATTTCATCATCCCAGAGACTATATAGTCACATCACTTTGGGATAACCCTGGCGAACAGAGCTACCAAACTATTTTTTCATCATTAGTGAATCTTGTAATGTTGAAAGCAGTGGTGGGATTCAAAAATTTTTACTACCGGTTCTGTGTGTGTGGCCTCGTGGGCATGGCTTGGTGGGCGTGGCAGGGGAAGGATACTGTAAAATCTCTATTCCCACCCCACTCCAGGGGAAGGATACTGTAAAATCTCCATTCCCTCCCCACTCCAGGGGAAGGTTACTGCAAAATCCCCATTTCCTCCCAATCAGCTGGGACTCAGGAGGCAGAGAATAGATGGGGGCGGGGCCAGTCAGAGGTAGTATTTACTGATTCTCCGAACTACTCAAAATTTCCGCTACCGGTTCTCTAGAACTGGTCAGAACCTGCTGAAACCCACCTCTAGTTGAAAGGAGAAGTTGTTCAGGAAACTCATTTGAGCTGTAGGGGTACAATTACACAAACAAATTTCCAGTGCTAAATTGACTGTATGTTACACTAATGGTAGTTCAGAGTAATGGCCAAGGACATTTTCTGTCGTGCACAATATCAGACATTGGAAATGTATGAAGACTCGGGGTGTTTGTCAAGCAACACAATATTATCAGAAATTAATTTGCTGGTGAAATGTTCTCTGTCCTCAAGAATTATTATGTTTAGTAACTAGCTGTTGATCAAAATATCACAATGTAGTTAGTATGGCTAACAATCCATTTCTGCAAAATGAACACACAAATTTTGGCCTGGCAGACACACCAAATACCTATCTTTTTTTAAAAAACAAAATGCAGTATTGTCTTTTTTTCAGAAACTATCCACTCGTCATTCAAAACATAAGCCACTGAATTAGAGATGCCAGGTCATTCAATATATTCGCCCATTTAATAACCTGCTTTACTATTGATTCATTATTGGATTAAATAAAATTTCATATTAGGGATGCTCCATATGGATGCTTTTTTGAATGATGAAGGTAATCAGTAGCCCTTGCCATTACAAGTAGATATAAACTTTTTTTCCTTTTTCATTCTCTGTCATACTGTTAAACGTGAGGAATCACATTTTTTACAATAAAATATGCCCTTAATATTGGACTTCACAGTTATACTTTAGCTTTGCAGTAGAAAGGAGAGATAACTTTGAAAACATTGCCACCTACTGGCCATTGTTAAATTAATGAAAAGAAAAATATACGTTCTATCAGGTCGTATACACTCAAATTAAATGCAGTTTAAAATAAACCTGCAACCTGTTCTGACACTCTGATCAGCAAAATAATGAACATGTTCTAATTGACAACCACACTTGTTACATATTGTGCTACATAAATCCAATGGATTTATATAATTGAGGGCACGGGTGTGAGAACCTGGATTGCTCAACCATATTTACAGCAGAGAATCAAACATCTTAGAAATGCCTCTTTCCAATCAAATTAGTTGGGAAATATAATTCTTGTTATATTTCTTGGTGGGAGTAACACAGAATCTTGTTTAATTCTTGAAGATGCAAATAATAGCCTTGCAAAGCTTATTTTTAAAGCACTGATTTTAACAGTCCTTGCCTTATTATCTCTTACGGTATGAATAAATGGCCATTTTTCTTCAATGTTGCCTACAAGGATATCAAATCATATTTCCAAACTCCAATTATAGATTGTGAGCAAACAGCAGTTTCACAAAATGCTTCTTTGTTATAGTAGTAAGCACAATTTAAAGTCTATCCCAGCAACCATATGCCATTAATTTATTATGTACTTGTAAAATCCCCTTTTTTCTTTGTACTGTTATTAATCACTTTCTGGGTTTTTACATAAACACTAACATTTTCATAAACTGTGATGAAAAACCATGCAGCATTCAAAACATGCACTTTATATAAACTGTGAAATGGATTAGATGAGAACAGCAAAATGAATTTCTGTAGCAATATCATATTATAAAGACATATTTGTAACTATTCTTATAAAATAGCCTTCCCAAATTGCTATCTTTCAGAGATATTAAACAATAGTGTTCATCATTTCTTATGATTACATTGTTTGAGTTGGTGACCTTATAATTCTAGCTAATAAATGTTTTTTTTTAATGATCTGAACAATTGATCTGGTGCCCTTTGTAATACTTATAGCATTATTCTTCTCATATTCTTTTTATAAGAGGCATGTTGTGCCTCCTATACAATACCAGTAGCACATATCTTATTTACTCCATATTCTAGAACTGCAGTAATTTTCTAGAATATGAATTCAATTTAGGCAACACTAGAGTATAATTCATTTATTGCAAAACTGAATTAGTTCCCACATTCTTTTTCCATTTCTCTTCTCATCTGCCTTTTCAGCCATGGAACCAACTGTCTATCATGATATGCAAGGTGAAGCATTCAAAATAGATATATCCATATTTCTGTTCATCTCATCTTTAACTTGCTCTCTCTCCAGTTTTTGGGGAAGGCAGAGGTGGGTTTCAGCAGGTTCTGGAGAACCAGTAGCGGAAATTTTGAGTAGTTTGGAGAACCGGTAATAATTATTCTGACTGGCCCCGCCCCCACCTATTCTCTGCCTCCCGAGTCCCAGCTGATCGGGAGGAAATGGGGATTTTGTAGTAACCTTCCCCTGGAGTGGGGTGGGAATGGAGATTTTACAGTATCCTTTCCCTGCCACGTCCACCAAGCCACACCCACCAAGCCATGCCACGCCCATCAAGCCACACCTACAGGACAGGTAGTAAAAAAATTTGAAACCCACCACTGGTGCACACACACCTTCAAGTCAATGTTGATTCCTCGTGAGTGCCTGGACAAATCCCTGCAGTTTTCTGGTCAATATTTCAGAAATAGTTTGCCATTGCCTGCTTCCTAGAGCTAAGAGACCTTGACCTACTTCATATCCCTGGCTGGGCCTAAGGCAGGAGTAGACCTCACAGTCTCCTGATTTCTAGCCTGGGACCTTAATCACTAGACAAACTGGCTCCCACTTGACCTTAAGATCTCCATGTGGGACTGGAAATCCAGTTTGAAAAACACTGAACAAAATGGGTTCACTAAAATGACTTATTCCATAGAATTAAAACAATCCCCCAGAAAAAGCACCGTAACCGAATGGAGAGTTAATAAAAAGCAAACACTTTATTGATAACTTATTTAAAAATATCATATTTAAACCAGAAATAATGCTTAACATTTAATTAGGAAACTCTTTTTTGCAATTAAGGACATCCTTTAAAATAAAAAGTCCATGGGGAATAGCCACTAAGTGGAAATATTTTTTTAAGTAAAATTAGTTAAAATTACTGAATGTTTCTTTTGTTTCTTATTATCAAAAAGGTTACCGATCAAAACAATGTAGAAATTAGTTGCCTACTCATATCAAAATAAGATTTATCCATTTATTTTGCATAGCCTTACCTTAAAAGCCATATAGTCAAGGCTATGGTTTTCCCAGTTGCAATGTATAGCTGTGAAAGCTGGACCATAAGAAAGGCTGGGCACCAAAGAATTGAGGCCTTTGAACTATGGTGCTCGAGAAGACTCCTGCGAGTCCCTTGGACTGCAAGGTGAGCAAACCGGTCAGTCCCAGAGGAAATCAACCCTGACTGCTCTTTAGAAGGCCAGATCCGGAAGAGGAAACTCAAATACTTTGGTCACCTAATGAGAAGGAAGGACTCACTGGAGAAGAGCCTAATGCTGGGAAAGATTGAGGGCAAAAGAAGAAGGGGACGACAGAGAACGAGGTGGCTGGATGGAGTCACTGAAGCAGTCGGTGTGAGCTTAAATAGACTCCAGAGGATGGTAGAGGACAGGAAGGCCTGGAGGAACGTTGTCCATGGGGTGCCGATGGGTCGGATACAACTTTGCAACTAACAACAACAAAACCTTAAAAGCTCATCGTACCTAAGATATTTAGATATAATTTGGCAGCACACAAAGATTCATTGAAAAACAGTTGTGTACAGTAGCTGTTTCCAAACTGAGCCTTAAATCATGACCTTCCACTCATTTCTTTTTTGACTGCTGCCTTTTGCACATTATTTCAAAGAAGATCCACTTGAAAAAGAAACCTAGATGGGTGATCTTACTAATATTCTTTCATTTCTTACCTGTTGTCGCTTAAATGCCAAATGGTCCAGCTTCTTCAGTTCTTTCTGAAGATGTTGATATGTTTTCTGCAGTTCTGATTTACTGGATACATTTCGAAGAGACATAAGCATTCTCTGTACCTGCAGCCATATAAGAAATAGGGAAAAAGAACATCTGAATTTGTCTAGGAACAAACTCCCTAAAATCAGTTCTTTGCACAGCATTTGAATTAGCATCTTGTTATCCCTGAGTTACACTACTGGGAGGAAAATACATTTCCCAAAGCCTTCCTCTTTTGTCATCATCATTAGATGGCTAGATGGCATTACAAGACTCAAAACCTGTCTTTCTCCAGATTTGCATATCACAACGTGTATGTCACAGACAGCCGAAATTCTGCCCTAACATGAAGGACCATGTAGACATCACCAAACCATTCCACTTTGGCTCCTTCTATCAGCAAAAGCAGTTGAAGAAACAATGGAAACTCCTTCCACATTTGTCTTGCATGACATTGTAGGAAATTAGCACCCGCCCCTCTCCTAGGAAAATGAGATATTTTAGGAAATATTAAAAGGGCAGAATATTTCTCCTAAAAGGGAGGCTGAAACTTACCACACACCCCACACACACACCTTTGTCAATGGGCCATTAAAGCCTAGGCCAGTCTATTCTCCATAACAAAGATCTACCTCCTTCAGGCAGAGCCATAATAGGAATCTCAAAGCCCCTTTCGTTACATCATCACCCAGCAAGGCTCAACCAAGCCTGGGATTCAAAAGACAACCTACAAAGTTACCCCTGCATGGCCCCATGGGAGTCTGACAACCAATCATAATACAAGCTCAAATTCAAAAGCCCAGAGTGGGTATAAAACTCAGGCACTCTCAACATCTCCTCCCTTTTTTTCTTCAGCCAAGATCTTCAAGGCATGTGATCCTGTCCACCATTAAAACCATCTTTCCCAGCAGCTACCATGTTTCCGGTATCTTTCTCCCCACTTGGACCTGAACCCAGAAGGACATTTCTTCCAATAACATGAAGCTGGTAGTTCCAAATTCACCGTCCTCCCAGCATGTCAGAGTCCAAAGCCAGGAGCTGGTAGTCAAGTGGAAAACCATGGAGAATATGTGAATGCGGTCAGGGAGGATGAGAATGATTGCTTTCCCTTCAGTTATACTTTTCTGGAATTCAAAATCATGGAGAAGTGAAATTTGGGGGGAGGGGAGGATTTCTAAATTCTCATTATTTCAAAAAAGAAAAGCAGCTACTGCAAGGGAGAGACACTGGAGCCATATCAAAGTTCATGCTATGCTTTGCAGGACCCTCAGCTGGGCTCTCAGATATCCACAAGGATTTTAAAAAGTCAATATGGTGGCAGTGACCAGGCAAATGAAGCCATGTCCCTTTTTTCTTATATAAACTATGTATTTCATCCATGTGGTTGCAGCCACCATCTTGACTTTTTTGACCTGCCTGTGAGTGTTCCTGGTCGGGCTCATACTCAGTTGAAAAGGTTGACACTAATTTTCCATTCAAGCACCAGCAGCAATGCAATGCACTTGGGTCATCATCTCATAGCTTACCTATGAGAGCAAAACTGTACATGCAGTCAATTTTATTGATACTGAGGTAAATAATGTCATGGAAATCTTCAATCACATGACAGGTAATGCCATGAATATGACCCAAACCAACATTAGCAATGAACACCTATTTTAAGGGCGGACCTATTTTTATGGAAATGTTTTCACTTGGATCTCTCCTCTCTGAATAACTCCATAATCCCTTTTATTAAAGCACAAGATTATGCCAGAACTGACTATCAATAACAATGAAAGGTTGTTTTTCAGGTTAGTCTTAGTTCAGTGCTTTTCTTTGCTATAGCGTTCTTTTTATTTTCATCCACCTGTTCGATTGGCGACATTCAAAACACAAATTCCAGAATTTCTCCACATGATATAATACCTGCTGGCAGAGCATAAACCGTTACTTCTCTGATGTTCCAAATGCAGCAGATGGTTATAGGCAGCAAAGGGTTGTTTTTTTAATAACGATTTTATTAAATTTTAAGGTAGAAAGATTAAAAACTAACAAGAACTACTAATCGAAAAAGAGAACAGAAAAGAGAGAAATAACAGACAGAAATGCAGCAAAATAAAAAAATATATATAGAAGTAGCATTACATAAAAAGGAATAACTTCCAATTTATAGCACATATAAATAAATTTTACTTTCAACTCTTGCTCCATGGCTACAACATAACATCCATTTTCAAAATATAATCTATTAATATAGATTATAACCCACATATCATAATTTCACTTTTTTTTCTGGTTCGCAAAGAAAGCCCCAAAAGGGGCTTCCAACTTGCAGTAGAGTTAGTCAATATCTTTTCTTTAATCAAAGTCATCAGTTTTGCCATCTCAGTCATCTCCATCAGCTTTACCAACCATTCTTCCTTTGTAGACGATACTGAGTCTTTCCACCATTGGTCATATAAAAGTTCTCATGCCATTGTCATAGGTAGGAACAGAATGCAATGCGCATTTTCCAAAGTTTTATCCATCAGCCGTAGTAGAAATGTCTCTGGTCTTGATAATCCCTTGAGGTTCAACATTTTCTGAATTAATATAAGCATTTGAGTCCCGAATGGCCTTTTTAGCTTTTCAAGGCAAGACAGTTTTATCATAATATGTACACCATGGTAAATCCTTAGAGCATGGGTGTCAAACTCAAGATCTGCGGGCCCCGCAGGGTGCTTAAATCTGGCCCACGGGGCCAGGCTAAAAATAGCAAAGGACCGGCCTGCGGTGCCTCTGGCAGCCAAAACAGAGTGTGGGGAGGTGCACATGGGGCCCCCCGCACCCCATTTTTGGTATGGATGGCCTCCTGCAATTTGCCGGCCAAATTGGGGAATGGGGGTTTTGGCTGGCAAAGTGCTACAGGAGGCCATCCAAGCCAAAAATGGCGTGAGGGGCCATGCTCACCTCCCATACACACACCCTGTGTTGGCTGGTCAGGTGTTGTAGGAGTCACCCGAGCTGACCCATGGAGGAGAACTACAATGTTGATCCAGCCCTCGAAGAAATCCAGTTTGACACCCCTGCGTTAGAGAAAAGGCACTGGAATTTGTGTGTAGTCCAACATTTCAGGTTAAGGGGGAAGTAAAGTGTTCATATTGTATTTGGGTCCAGCCTATTATGAGAACACAAACATGATGTAATTCAGGGGTCTTTAAACTTCTGGACTTCAATTCCCAGAATTCCCCAGTCAGCCATGCTGGCTGGGAAATTCTGGGAATTGAAGTCCACAAGCCTTAAAGTTACCAAGTATAGAGATGTCAGATGTAGTTCAAGCCCTAAACCAAGGTTCTGGAGATGCATAATTTCAAAATGCACATGAATGAATTTGGGCCATTTAGTAGCTCTTATCCCAATCAACTTCACAAGACTCCTTTGTAAATACAAAAATGACCAAACGCCTCCATATAAACCGGCTGAGAAACAGTAGGCTTAAAATCAGGGGTGAAATTCAGCAGGTTCTGACAGGTTCTGGAGAACCGGTAGCAGAAATTTTGAGTAGTTCGGACAACCGGCAAATACCACCTCTGGCTGGCCCCAGAGTGGAGTGGGAATGGAGATTTTGCAATATCCTTCCCCTGCCATGCCCACCAAGCCACACCCACAGAACCAGCAATAAAGAAAATTGAATCCCACCACTGCTTAAAATGCTGGGATGGGACTACAGAGCCCCAAGTTAATTGTATCCTCAGTATTTGGACTCTTATCAGGGGAAAATGAAGGAGGGCCTTGAACTCTAGGAGAAATAGTAAAGAATGAGTGTAATGCATGCCTCTTCAGCCAAGACACTCAATGTGTGTCCTCAATAGTCAGGCTGAGTGGAGAATTATGGGGGTTGAGGTCCAAAGATCTAGCAACCCTCCACAGTGGGAAGGCTACTGAAAAGATAACTTATATAAGCTGAAAAACAGGATTCATCTTTAATCATTGTTATCTTCATCGAATAAAAAAATAAGCTTCAAAATATATGTTTGGTTTTATGGCATAGTGCTTCTAAAATTTATTTCTCCCTCGCTACTTTTAAAAATTATGGAGGACCCCCAAAAGAGTTTTTGTTTATATGGATTATATTTATTGATATCTGCTGCATTAAAAATTAAAATGGATGCATTCGCTGCTTCTACCCCTTCTCACAATTGTTTGATGGGATTTTAATATTGCATTATTTTTCAGCGTAGGCTGGCAAATCAATTTGATTTTGTAAGCAGCTGAGAGGGTCTTGGGGAATCCCCAGAACTCCTCAAATCATACCTTCAGAAATATTGCTCTAGCAAAATATTTTTCCACTTTTAGTACATACTGTTCTAGCTGTCTCATTCAAGAGACAGCCAGGTCTCAGGTAATCTGCTCTTCTTTCTGCTCTGATGAACTGACAATACCTGCATATTAATTCATGCAATTTTATTATTTATTATATTTTTATCCTCCCTTTATTACTTTATAAGTAACTGGAAGTGGCAAATATACCTAATACTCCTTCCTCCTATTTTCCCTACAACAACAGCCCTGTGAGGTAGGTTGGACTGAGAGAGAATGACTGGCCCTAAGTCACCCAATCAGCTTTCATGCCTAAAATGAGACTAGAACTCAGTCCGCTATCCTACAATCCTTGGCTTACAATTGCTATACAAGGTTTAACGTGTCCATGAGGATACCGTCGGCCAAGTTATGTCGGCTGGCGATACCCAGGAGGAGAGCCTTCTATGTCGGAGCTCCTGTCCTTTGCAAGAATTGCCCCCGGATATTCGTAACATCTCTGACCTCCGGGTCTTTCACTGTGCCCTCAAGACCCTACTGTTCCGACAGGCGGGGCTGTCTAACTGAATGATTTTAAATTGGGTTTTAATATTGGGTTTTAAAATTTGGCCAAAACTATTTAATGATTTTAATTAATTTTAACTATGATATTGTATATTTATGTTTTTAATCTTGGCTGTACACCGCCCCGAGTCCTTCGGGAGAAGGGCGGTATATAAATAAAACTATTATTATTATTATTATTATTATTATTATTATTATTATTATTATTATTATTTAGTTTTTTAAAAAAGCTCTC